GAATAGTGTCATTTGTGACGTCATTGGGAATAGTGTCATTTGTGACGTCAGAGTACAATCTGCTAAAGTTATACTGAACTACCCGAAACAGCCAAAAAAAAAAAAAAAAAACGTAAACAAAAGTGTTATTGGTTTCGTGAGATTAGGGGTAAAGAAGCCTGAAATTATGCAGGTTGATTTAGTTTACGAATTAATAAAAAAAAATGTTGTGTCTAAAATAAGCCCCCTAGTGGATATGTGATAAATGTGATACGGACTTACAACGCTTAAATCTGGCATTCGATTTCCCGCGATGGACAGAGAGCAGATAAACTATTGCACTAAGAAAACAATAATCCTGGTGTAAACGTTATAAAGTTACTTGTTTACAGTATGTTCTATATTTTCGTTTTGAATTATTATTTTTTTTTTTTTTTTACTATTCCCAGTTTCTTATCATATTCTCAATTAAGCCTAAATGAGCAGGAAATCTGCTTACAACCAGTTTTATTTGCCAAATCAGAACGAAACTCTTCGTAAATTATAAAGTAGGTGAACGTTTTATCTGAGTTTCAAAGTATGATAAAGTGAACTTAGATTAAATAAGTCAAACCTATAATTACGTCATATTTAACCAAGTTCCGGTTTATATATATTCTTACGCAGAGGGATTGTTCAATCAAACCGTTAAAGAAGTTCCAGCGTAAATATTCCTACGCAAAATATAAGTTGTTTAAAACAAACCACGAAAGTAGTTCTGGCATGTGTACAATCCTACAGACAATGGTTCGTGTAATCCAATCCGAGACGTTGATATGATCGTGCATAGCAACCAGCTTATCACCGTTGCCATTGCCAACCCTATCCAGTAATCATGTGAACAGCGTAGACAACATACCAGCTGCAGGTGACGAATTCGTTCCAGAAAGTAAATAACTTTGCTGTGATACCTGGGTGGATCCCCTACCTTCAGTATTTTGTTGAAAATATAATTGCTGTACATTATCGCAAATACATATCGTGTAAATACGGTTTAATATCATAGAACATTTTAAAAATTAGTTTAGGTTAGAGTTTAGAAAACTTTTAAGGCTCTGAGCTTCTGTGAGCTCTGAGAATTTTTTTACTGGTAGCCAGGGGGCGGGGGGGGGGGCTTAACACACCCAAACAAACTGTCCCTCACGTGGCATTGTTCTCACCAATTCAAAAATAGTAGTTGTGGAGAGAGAGATCGAAAGAGGGTGTAAGTCACTGGGGATAATTTGTTTATTTAGGAGGACGAATTTATTTTTCCCAATTATTCAATCCACTCCCCCTCTCCCCTCGTGACTGAATAGCATAACCAAACAAAAATACTCACTCGTTCCTATGTGGGTTGCGACAGTTGATTCATCTTAGCGTTTCCGGTAACTTCCGTTTCTTGTTTGACGAAGTTTCTTTACACGTGGCAACAGTTGATTCATCTTAGCGTTTCCGGTAACTTCAGTTTCCCGTCTGACGAAGTTTCTTTACACGTGGAAACAGTTGATTCATCTTAGCGTTTCCGGTAACTTCCGTTTCTTGTCTGACGAAGTTTCTTTACACGTGGAAACAGTTGATTCATCTTAGCGTTTCCGGTAACTTCCGTTTCTTGTTTGAGGAATTTTTTTTTACTTGTGGCAACAATTGATTCATCTCGACGTTTCGGGTAACTTCAGTTTCCCGTCTGACGAAGTTTCTTTATGGGTTGCAACAGTTTATTTATCTCGACGTTTCGGGTAACTAAACTGAAGATGGGAAACTGAAGTTACCCGAAACGTCGAGATGAATAAATTGTTGCAACCCATACAGAAACTTCGTCAGACGGGAAACTGAAGGTGAAAGTCTTCCAAGTTTATGGTAGGTGAAAATTGAATAATGGGTAACTGCACCAAAGAGAAGTAATGGAACGGCGAAAGGGCAAAACTAGTACTAGTCAGTTCTGTCACTGAGAGCCCTATATTCAGATATAACCACTCCTAATTTCTAAGACGAGAAGAAAGGCAGCCAATCAGAAACACCAACCGCCACAAGGTCTTAGTCTGGTTCTTTGAACGCAATATTACGATTGATTAGCACATTTGTAATTTGTCCAGAGCTGAGACTACCCAGCGTGTTCAACAGCATCACGTCTCAAACCATGGACTCCTCGATACGCAGCCGGAGTGCTAACAACTAGGCCACTCCTGAAGCCTTTTAAACGATGGACAGTATTTTTTCATACATGATAGTGATTTATATTAGTATGATGGCCCTGTGGTAAGGCTCTGGATTTCAAAATAGTTAAGCCAGATTCGAATCTGTTAGACACATTTTAAGCTTTATGGATTGGCGGCCAATCCTTTAGCGTGGATAGGCTGTCTTCACTCTGGTCAGTAGTCCAAACTCCGGACAGAAAAGTAGCTTTTACCATAAAAACAGTATTATTACTGTCTGTCTGGGTCGTGGGAGAGTCAGGTGCTATCTAGACCTCTTCGGGTCGTGGGAGGGTCAAGTGCTATCTAGACTTCTTCCTCCCTCTTTTGTGGTTTCTATTTTCACTGACAAATGCGATAATGATTACTTCACGAGGTCAGGACTCAAACACAACATTTAATGCTTCATTAACATTTTATTCATTCGATTGTGTAATAGGACTTCATAAACAGTTTGGCAAATCATCACTTTTTAGTAGATCAATTTATTTAACATATTGTTATAGATGACACGTTTAGTACGATATCCCAGGATATTGTTATAGATGACACGTTTAGTACGATATCCCAGGATATTGTTATAGATGACACGTTTAGTACGATAACCCAGGATATTGTTATAGATGACACGTTTAGTACGATAACCCAGGATATTGTTATAGATGACACGTTTAGTATGATAACCCAAGATATTGTTATAGATGAAACATTTTGTACGATAACCCAAGATATTGTTATAGATGAAACATTTTGTACGATAACCCGGGATATTGTTATAGATGACACGTTTAGTACGATAACCCAGGATATTGTTATAGATGACACGTTTAGTATGATAACCCAAGATATTGTTATAGATGAAACATTTTGTACGATAACCCAAGATATTGTTATAGATGACACGTTTTGTACGATAACCCGGGATATTGTTATAGATGACACGTTTAGTACGATAACCCAAGATATTGTTATGATGGCACATTTAGTACGATAACCCATCTAAGTGATATTGTTATAGATGACACGTTTAGTACAATAACCCCAGATATTGTTATGATGGCACGTTTAGTACGATAACCCATCTAAGTGATATTGTTATAGATGACACGTTTAGTACGATAACCCATGATATTGTTATAGATGACACGTTTTGTACGATAACCCAGGATATTGTTATAGATGACACGTTTTGTATGATAACCCGGGATATTGTTATAGATGACACGTTTTGTATGATAACCCGGGATATTGTTATAGATGACACGTTTTG